ATTTTAAAAAAAGGAAACAATACAGGACAGAAAATAATGAAATAGAAAATACAAAAAGAATAGAGACAATTAAACAAAAACTATATTTCAATGAAGCATAAAATTAGCCATGACTCTTGAAATGACCTAAACATCTATATGGAAGGTGTACATTATGGGTAATACCTTATAACTACCGATAAATCAAAGATTCCACATTTCAATATAGTTGAACCTAAAATATAACTCATTTACATACATTTAACAAATATTTATTGAAAATAAACTATTAATCAGATACTCGATTAGGTCCTAATGATTGTGTGGAAGAAAACAACAATCCATAAATCCACTGTCCCATGGTATTGCATTCAGTTGTGTGAGGTAAACAATAAAAGACAGTGAATGAATCAACATAAAATAAGGGACTGTTGCTAAAGGCTGTGAAGAAGGATGCAGATGAGAAGAGACAGTGTATGTGGGAAAGGAAGAACAGCAATTTTCTAAAGACGATGATCAAGGAATACCTTGATGGTAGGTTAGCATTTAGGAAGAAATCTTAGACTCCAGTGTAAGAGAACAGCAAGTTCAACGGCCCTGTAGCAGGGCTATGGTTTGAGTTAAGAAATAAGAAGAAAACCAGTGTGCATGAAGTAGTCTGAAAGACTAAGAAAATGACCAGAGAAAACATAATTCAAATAAACTATGAATAAGTAAGCAGTATTCGTGATTTCAAAGCATTTGCAGCCAGGACACAGGCAACATTATTGTTTTCATCTTACACGTTGTTGTTGATGTCTCTAGCTGTCCTTGAGTTGACTTTTGACTCCAGATCCAATTCAACAGAGTATAATAGCTTTGTGGGTTCAAGGCTGCTCTTTTCCCAGGAGCAGGTCGCCAGACCTTTCTCTTCCTCACTGAGTCACTAGGTGTATCCAGCCAGGTGCTTAGCCCTTGTCCCCACAGCTCCTTAGAACATTGGTAGTCAAGTACAAATAAGTAGAAAAATGCTCTTATTTTTCTTCTTTATTCTTTCTAATATGGCTGTTTTATTCTTTTGAAAATTATGGTGTGATCATGTTGTTTCTACAAATTAGCCCAGGTAAAACAGAAATACTAATTCATCACCAATAAATTTTATTTCCAATAAAAAATATGCCAACCCCCCCAAAAACCACCTACCGTCATTTTAAAATATATTTCACTGTTAATTAGTTAGGCCTCTTAAAACAGGTATTCAAGTGAAGAAATATGATTACATGTAAATTTAAATCTTAACACCAAAATCAATCACTTTAAATTCATTTTATAAAATCTAGTTAAATCCGACTTTGACAAATTTCCCATGAGACCACATGGGGCATGTACATGCCTTCCATGTACTGATTTGTTTATGCCCTTGTTTTACATACATGTTTACATTGCAATGTGATAGTAAAATGCATGTGGAATAAATCAAATATCATTAATAAGGTTAGTGATGAATGGAATTTCTTA